CAACGCGATGGCGTGCCCTTCGTTCAAGTGAAGATGCAGCCATGCCCTCCGCATCTTTGGCTACAGTGCACATTTACTAGCAGTTCCTATCTCCAATTCGGTTAATGAATGGTTTTCCATTTTCCTTTTGCGAAGGTTCTGGTCTTGGTAGCGTTTATTTACTACAGACCACCAATTGCTCCTTTCCCGTACGTATTGACCAGTGTCTCTTGTTGTCTCGGGTGCTCTTTATCCAAATTTTCACTGAAAACTGCAACAGCAAGCATTTGTACTCTTTAGTCAGCTTCTTCTTGAGTAAATATAGATTGTTCATAGGTTATAGCAAGGTGACCTCTGAAGGTGTCTTTATGAAACAAAGAAAAAGAAAATGGGTTTCTAAGGCTGAAGAACGGGTTTGGAAGGCATCTTGTGCAAGATAGGGTTATCGAACGTACTTGTATTGGTTTGTCCATCCCAGAGCTCTTTTCCCACTTGACAATCAGGTCCTCCTTTTTCTGAAGTATAAGGCGCAACCTGTGTTTAAGGGTGGAACTGCGCTTCGAATTTGCGAATGTTTCCTCCTCGATTTAATTTTAATCTTTTTTATTTGTTTTTATCGGTATTACTGATCCATAAAAAAAAACAGGAAAACTGCTGCTGTACCATTTCACTTTCCTCTCTATAATATAAAGCAAAGTTGTGTGTGCGTGGCGTGTGTGTGTGTGTGTGTGTGTGTGTTGTGTGTGTGTGTGCGTGTGTGTTTGTATTGCGTGTTCACCCGAAAATTGGGGACTGTGTGGAAAATCATTTTTGGCGAACGGATCAAGCTTGGGATGGTTGTGGCATGGGACAACATTTACAGAACACCTACAAGGTAACTAGGTCCACTTTTTTGAAAAGGTTATATTAATAATATTGAATTTACCTCCTTAACCTAGGCTCCGCCCACAATGGGCGGGGCACCGGGGGAAGTGAACGGTGCCATGGATAAAAATTTTTAAAACGTATCCTGAGGAACCCGAAGGATGGTAATGTGCTTGAAGGGCGACAGCGGAAAGCCAGATGAAGTAACGGAGAGACACCTCAGCAAAAGTAAGGGGCAAAAGTTATATTTTTGTCTCAAGACAAATGAGAATAGTAGTGAACATGAGGTCGAAATCGAAAATTTGTAACTTATTTGTATTTATTTATTTGCTTATTTACTTATTTACCTATTATTTATTCTACAACAATCCAAATACACCCATACTACCACTTCAGTTTTCCACTGAGCATCCAGTTCCCACTTCTCACTCCTTGACTTTACGAAAATTTTACAACCGTCCACTAGGGGGAGGGGCCGAAGGGGGGGGGGGGGGGGGGGGTATATACCAAATGTGAAACGGTAATGTTCTGGAATTGCAGAAAAAAAAATTTTTTTCTGTGGCTAAGGTTGGAAGGCTGCCGAAGGCGGGCGATCCGACTGGTTGGAAAAACAGGAGAACTGCTGCTGTACCATTTCACTTTCCTCGGACAGATGGTAGACTTCGTTGGCCTATGCAGATCTGATTTATCCAGCCGAGTAGTTCGCGTGGTTGCCATTACACTACCCTCTGTGAGTCATTTCCTTTGAATCCTACCTACATGGCGGCATCTCGAATCCCTGTGACTGTCTCTATCTCAAAGGCAGTTTGCACGATAAATCTCCATGACGTGTAGGACCAATACGCCTAGCAGGATTGTATTTGGCACCCTTGAGCAGTGCTTTTCCAAGGAAGGTACCCTTAAAGCGCCCTATCAGGCAGCTACATCGACCTGCACTCCCAGCGCACCGGTGCGCTCACAAATGGACGACCGTATCTGGTGCTCATATTGCGAAGTAAAATATGAAGGAGGGATTGATATGAAGCGGATGTGATGCGGCATGGATGTATGAGTATTTACATGCAACCGCGTCTACCGTAGCGGTTATTGGCACGTTGCCAATGGGGAACTCGTCCGAAATTGCTGAGCCGTGTGGGACAGATTTTCGAAGGTTTTTCGCACTTTCCCCACTATTTATCATTCCTGCGGCCCATTAGACGAGTACCGATTATCGTGCCAACTGCCTTCATGTTGAATGGAATAAGCGTAGGCTTAGTTGATTGAAATTACGATCTGCCCGCCTGTTATACATGGATAGCCGTGTTTAGCTACCGAAAGGACCTGCCCCCCCCCCTGTTATGCCTGGGTAGCAACTTTTAACGCGCTATCGTATCCTCAAATGCGAACCCATGGCGAGAACAAAACGCCACCATGGCGCAGTTCGGCGACGGGGTGGGGAGGTGGGCATTGTGCGCTTTCACTGCTTCTCTCAGTCACAAGCCCCTTTCAGGTACAAAACTTGTGAAGCTGACTAAGTCGCTCTAGCAGCGCAGGGGGGGGGTAAAACGTGTCAACTCAAGAAAAGCTAACTGGAATGGTCTGCACATCGGTAAGCAAAATGCCACCCCGTCGCCGACATCATGTCCCACCACTCTCCCAAGGTACAAGCTGACAGATGTCAGCAGCTACCCAGCATTTCGTAGATCATGACTCCGTGCTGCACGTTAGGCAAATAAGGTCCTTTGCGAGCACCATGTAAGTGACGCCACTGCAAATGTCGTGTCACGCAACGTTAATCTCCCCATTCCACTTGTATGGAGCCCAGATTCATAGGGTCAGAATGCAGTCAGTTTAACCACGTGGTCCAAACCTCGGCTGGAAAACAGATTTGGGTCCGCTCCGCTCGTTGTAAGTTAACTCTTCTACTGCTTTACTTCTGTGTCAAATCTTTCTAACACTATTTTATTAGTCAACATATTCGTGTGTGCGTTTCACAGCATAAAATTACTTATGACACCACTCCAAGCACATCGGAACGGGCACACAACGTTCAAATAGAAGTAGTAGTAATGATAGCAGAGGACGAAACTGAAGACGATAAAAAAAGTGAGAGATGATGAGGCCGAAAGGGAAAGTGCATATCGGTGTGGCGTTCATTTTCACAGAGAAAGGCAGTCGACTTGATGATAGAGGGGAAAATTCCAGTCATGGTGATAATAATGATGACGTCACATGAGGTAAAAAGACCTCCAAAACACATTTGAAAAGTGCGAAATGGCCAACTCATAACTTACAATGAGACTATTAAAACTATACAATTCTATACCGGATTACAAACGACTGACTCTTCAAAATATTGCAACGATAAAACAGGAAAGGGACGTTTGAGGAATGGACGGGATAAGGACGAAGCAGCGAAGCCTTTATAAGCCCCGATGGGCTTAACAAGGGCACCAAACAGAAACCTAGAAAGTAAACAGAACAAAAACAAAAAGAGAAGAACGATAACGAATGAGAGAGAGAAAAGGGGAACGAGACATGCCTCACGGCAGGAAAAAATAGGAAGAATTAGGAAGGATTTGACAACGACAACGCCAGCGCCATCACCGGCTCCACCACTGCTGCCCCAATGGCGTAGCGTTGTCAGGCCACCGTAAGATATTCCTGGATGGCTACGGATGCTCTTGAAGTCGAATGTGCTCGGTAGACGATGTCATGATTAATCATAGCGAGTAAAAGAACACTCGATCGAAGCACTCGGTCAAATCCTCGCCGTCGTCGGCGAGACTTTCCACATCGCTCGCTCCATCGGATGCCGTCTCCATTGCATCCAAACTAATAGCGCCATCGTTGTTATAGGCAGTACTAGTCTTACTCACACCAATTATACGCTCCCTGAAACCAACGAGCTCAATTCAACGGAAAAACAGTCAGTAAGAAAATAAAAAGTGGAAAGGATCAAATCCGCTTACCATTCATCAATGCCGGCATAATAATAAACTGGCGGTACTGTATGTTCTCCATCAAGCGGCATCGTGTACGCTCCAGCATCTTTCCAAAGCAGCCACTCGCCCACGCACAGTTGACGGCAGCGAATCAGCGACTGGGCGACATCTCCTGGTTGAAGTGACGCGCCAAGAACAGTTCCAAAATGCTGAGGTGCATCGGCGATGTCCTGAAAAACTATCGAGTAAGTGTACCATCAAAAATGGGAAGATCAGACTCATTTCAATTTCAGGGGGCGACGTGGCACCGGTCTTCCCTCTTAGGATTTGGGAAATGACGCATTATCTGACGAGCTAAGGAAGTGGCGGCTCGACGCTATTTGCTCTTCTGCGCCCCTACGCCGCGCCGACTCTGGTCGTCTGCACTCCGATGCACGAGGCTGGGGAGGGTAAAAGAATAGTTCTCCTCACAGCGTGCCCTATAAATCACAATAAAGCAATTTCCAATCAACCAAATACCCTTCCCATCAGGGTTAAGGCCACTGGTTACACGCTTATAACAGTGCAAGTATGTAAACGGACAGCTATAATAAGAACATCCTTCCCAACTTACAACAGCTCATAGCACGGTATCATTTTCAAAACGCTAAAACAAAATTGTGGGGGTCAATTTTTTTAGAGAATTTCTGTCTTCTACTGCCTTAAAGGCAGTTGGCACGATAAATCCCCTAAGACGACTAGGATCAATACTCCTGGCAGGATAGAATTCCGCGACCCTGGGCAGGCGCTGCATAGCGGTTTCCCCGAGGAAGGTGCCCTTATAAGGGCCCTATCAAGCCACAACTTTACGTCCCAAACGCCCGCCACCCGCCCGCCCAAATGGACGACCGTTCCTGACGCTCGTATTCATTCATTTGCTAAGCAAATTATGAAGCGAAGGGATTGGTATGAAGCGGCCGTGATGCTGCATGCATATATGGGTACACATATGCAGCCGTATCTTCGGTAGCGGATGGCAAGATGCGTACGGGAAACTCGTCCGAAATCGATTTTCAAGTCACTGAGAACGGAGGCTTTTTTCGCCGGATTTTGACCGTTTCACTCCGTTCTTTCGCCATTTCCCCACTATACAGCGCCCTACTAGCATTTTAGGCCGAGTGGGAAAGCATCGTGCCAACTGCCTTTAACATAATGAGTTGTTCGAGGGACCTTATGACATTGCTCTCTTATGGCTGTCAGGAAGCATAAATCAATGGAGGAAATCATTTTCGGGGATATGCTCTTAATCTCGTCTCTCAGGAAACAGCTCCAGGAATCTTGAGCCTGTGACATTCTTTTTCTCTAACTCATCTTTCAAGCCAGTGAGCTTTGGTCTTCGTCAAGAGGCATCAAAACCAATCTGGCCGACTTTTTAGTATCATGTACCATACACCAAAATACTTACATCCAGAGGAGTGCACAACGGCTGCGAATTCATCAGCACACATCCAAACGATCCATAGACACTGTCATTGGTTTGATAGACGAATCCAACACCATCGTCGAAATCTGTGAAAATAGGTTTTAATTGGAAGCCATGAATAACAAAACTAAGCATAAGAGACGGCGCCGTTAGGCAACGGGGGGGGGGGGGGGTGGGAAGGCAGCAGTATGGTGAATGGCACACTTTACAAGAGTTGACAGGTGGATCTCTACAAACTTTGGCTGGTGTCATTTTGTGGCTTCACAAGATTTCACAGGTCTCCACTCGATGGCTCGACACGACGGGCAGTAGCAAAAGTGCAAGAAACCGTGAAAGTAGAAAACGAGGGAAGACTTCCAAAATCTAAAAAACTACTCACCGTCTTTCGTGATGTGACGTGCTTCCAGCGCTTGTTTACCAATGACATTTGTGCAAAGCACAAATGCAGCTGCAGCGAAATATCTGAAATTCCAGAAAAAATAAGACCGTTGGATAACAAAGACAGTCCCTAATCCCAATAAAACTTTCCCCTATTTAGCAGAATTGGGACTAGCTGATAATTCGTCACTTGAAAAGCTGAGCATTGGTAACAAAAATGAGCACAAGGAAATCCTGTCAGCGAACACTGAGCGCTCGGTGAGGGTTACAGTGAGACCAAGCAAGGAGCGTTCGGACTTCGCGATGACGCGCGTTGATGCGCCACAATTGCAACAGCCCTACGCAGCTGTAGAAGAAACACAGCCGCAGTCGTGAATCGATCGGCGCCGGCCGCTTGTGTATTGAGAGAGTACGGGGAACAGGAGAGTACGCATTGCCTAATCACTCAGTCTGGTATCGATCGGCACTGGCCGCTAAGGCTTTGAGGAAGTATAGAAGAATGGGAAAAGTATCAGATTGTGTGAAGGTAGCTCCTGCCTCCTGTTATTCAATACTTTTTCAGAACGCAGGCGGTTGGCGGCGATTGATCTCCGCCTGCAAGGTACCAAGCAAGGCTATGTTCACGTATATAGGACTGCGGCGCGTTACAGCGCGTCGACGCGCATCACAGCGCTTCAACGCGCGTCATTGCGAGCTGTGAACACTGCCTTGCTTTTCAGTGCGAAGCCCTGACAATTTTACGCCCTACATTAATTTCTTTTGACGTCTGAAAATCCAAGCCAGCGCTTGACAGAGAAGAACCTAGTCGCTACCCTAATCTCGCTACCTTAACTGTGCCAGCCCATTGACTCACCCTACGCACTGAATGTCCTGAGTGAGAGTGATCTTAGACTGGCTTTGATATAGGCCTTAATATGATACGGTATACTTATGACGTCGAACCGTATGTCCTGAGGCCGAGAGCGCTACGCAAAAACAAAGCTCTCAGTGGTGCGCTTTTTTCCACTAATCATTAACAGCTCGAGGTTTGATAGATTTGCTTTATCATTCCAGTTTTCTTTCAGTTATTCGCACGCTGATTTATCCTGACCCCATTTCAGTCCTATATCCATGGCTACAAAAAGCAACCAACCTTCCAGGAGTTGCAATCACTTTCAGATTCGAAAACTCCCTGCATGAAAACAGCTGGTCGAGTCCGGCATTGATCACATCGCACATCTGAAAATCAGAAGATCTTCATACTTACAACTCTCAGTTTGAGAGCCTGAATTTGCTGGAAGTTCCTAAACCATACTAAGATGGTTCAAGTAGCACTAGAAATAAGATCCGGACATACCTCAGGGAAGCGTTGTTCTTTGTCCGCTTTACTGGCAGGGAATCCACCGCCGAGGTTCACAGTGTCAAGTTCAAGACCGATTTGAGCGGCGAACGAGAACAAGGCGCGCACCTCATGAAGCGCTTTGTAGTAGGCACACGGCGAGGTGGCTGATCCAAGATCGAAGCTGAAATTGACTCATTAGATGAAGCTTCAAAAAACGACGCCGATCGGCTTGGAGGGGACATTTTGCACTTTCACTACTTCGTTTTGTTAGTACCTTCTCAATAACAGGATGAGACCTGCAAACTCTTGCAAAACGTGGAATGGTAAAAGTGAGCCGTTTGGGTTACAGGTTTCAACAAGTTTCCACAAGGTGCCCTGTACAAGCGTGACTGACTGAGTAGCATTCGATGTCCCCACCAAGCCGAACTGTGCAAAAACTTTATGAATCATGTAGAATCGCATAAGAGCCAGTACGTTCTGCCATTCGCAACGAGGATTAAGCTTCACGAAGGAACAGCTATGAAAATATTGCTCAACTTTTCGAAAGTAAAAAGCACGTCACCTCGAAAGCACTTCGTCAAAGCCGAAAGTTTTTTTTCATCTGCCGTAGATAATTAACGAGGTAAAAATCACTAATAACATACAAACCAGCCAGGATGATCTTGACTGAGACGAAGTGCGTGACATTTGCAAGGGCTGACTGCGATTGGTTAAACTTTCCAAAGACCAATCACAGACAGTCCATGCACGCAGTGCGCTATTAACGTCAAGTAACGCCTACAGCAAGCACTACGCTTGAGTAAGAACACAGACAAGTGTATTAATCCATTCTCTCACCTTACGCAGTTAAAGTAGTGAATGAATAGGAAGTGACGATAGGGAGAACAAGTAAAGAGGAGAAATGCGTTCACAGAAAAGCAACTTCAAACTGTTCACCCCTCCCGCGCCATGCTGCTATCGCTCCCAATAACAGGTAGAAAATGGGCTAGCGCCAATCCTGACAACCTCCTTGACACGCCCCGGAGTCTGTAGCGAAAACGACCGCACAGATATACTATAAATGTACCATTCCAGCGCATGTCACCCTCCGACAATGATAAGTCCTGGATGACCTAACTTGAAATGGTGTTGATTGTACGGCCATTATGTCCTTACAGCGGGCTTACAGTACGTCCATTATGTCATACTGCAGCTGCTAGAGGCCGATTGAATCAGTTCATCGAGATTCACTCGGCGGTACCAGTCTGTGACCTTTGAACTTTGGAAGCAGCATTCCTCGAGGATCATAACAGAAGCAAACGGAGCTTCAAATAAAATTTCAGGCGGAAAGGTTACAGCCAAAAAGCGTCACACTTTCACATTACACAGCCCTAGTTGTCCATTTAAAACTGATTTCCGCTTTATTTCCAAATAAAATGTGCCATCTACACAGCAGCAAAGTACAGCAGGTCATGAACAAGGAGGAATAGACGTTAAATGAGTAGGATTTGAAGTAGCATTTTATTTTCGGGGACATGTCTTGGTATACCAGGAGAGCAGAGAATTTTCATTAAAATTGTATAGAAGGAAAAAGAAAATTAGACAGCAGAGGTGGAATCATCCGGTCAGAATGGGCGCTGTTTGGCTCAGGGGGGGGGGGCATTTTTCATGTCCGCCAGTCTCTTTTGCTGGTTGCCTGCCTGTCAAATAAGTCGTCCCACCTTGGTTAGACCTGTGGACTCTTGTCAGGAGTGAGCGAAGTTCATGCTACTGCATGCCTTTACAGGAGTTGACAGGTCTCCACAGAAGGCATCGGCAGTGATTGGGAACCAGCAAAATGCCCCCACCAGGCCAAACTGCGCCTTAAGGTTCTCTTCCATGGAAGAATGATGCAGAGAAGAACAGAATGCCAACAAGAATGCTATCCTTCGAACTGAATAAGCAGCACCCAGTCACGTGACTCGTATTTTACTTACTAAAACGATCCCTTGGAAAATGTTCTACTCCAACGAGAATCACCCTTTGTCATGAATAAGACCTGGATGACGCCGAATGGAGTGTTTTGATGTTGGCCTCATGGAAACACGGTACGTACCATAATGTCATACCGTGGCTAGTCTGAAGGCCTGTTGGATCGTTCATCGAAAATCACTGAGCAAGACTAATACAACGCCACTGAATGCTCCAGAAATATCGTACTCATAGTAGGTATATGGCGGAAGAAATTGGAGCCAAGAACCTCGAAGGGGTATTCAAGTGACCCAAGAGCTCCCTTTGCAAAACTAGATTGCCGTAAAACACGGAATGGGTTAGCCGATTTCAAGCACAGCAACTCTATTCGGATGACGTCATACCCAGTTTGTGCTTCTTCCTCAAATGACCTCTATAGTTACTAGCGCTGAGAAGTAAAGCCGTAAACTCAAAATTTCAAAAAGGCCTCACAAGTGTTATGTTCCACAAATATTACTTCAAAAGCCAACGGACCATAGATGATGACATTAGAACTACAGCTGATTTTCGCCAAGAATGACTGTACAGGGGTTCGTGAATTCGTAACAACACAAACATCAAGACAACCTTTCCGTGGTCAGTATTTTCCGAAAAAACCTTCGCTCACTAGAGATTAGAGAGATTACAATCCATTCGTGATGACGGAAAGAAGAAATGACGGGTCCCTGTGTAGCACTGCAAGAAATCTCGACTGCAACGTCTACCTCGGCCATAGGTTTCTCGGAAATTTTCTCACGGTTCTACTGCTAAAGTTGGATTGTTGCTGACTGATCCAGTGTATTGCAATGAGCGCTTTGTATAGAATAACGCTTAAAATTTGACTACATAGCAATTCCCCGGACGTCACTGAACCGATCCCAGAGGGAGAATGTCTCGCTGGACTAGGAAGGAGCAGACCCGGGACCTGACCTCTGGACCGTGCACGCGCGTGATCAGCAGACCGTTTGCCGCTACACTGCTTTCGAATCAACTATTTGAGATACTTAACTACTGCAACTATGGTCCCAGCACAGTGTCACAGTGAATAAATGTATCACTCCACGAAGTATCACCCTGTGGCACAAATTGAGTCCTGAATGACAAAAACTGAAGTGACACTGATTTTGGCCTCATTACAATACGGTACGTGCCATAATGTCATACCGCAGCTAGGGAGAGGCCTGTGAAATCATTCAAGAGAAATCACTGAGATGAACCAGCACACGATCACTGAGCACCAAGCTGCACACCTTCGATACTTATCTTGATTACTACAACCACGGCAGAACAGTTCCGTCACAGTATCACAATGATTGTATCACTCCACGAAGTATCACCCTGTGGCACAAATTGAGTCCTGAATGACTACAACTGAAGTGACACTGATTTTGGCCCCACTACAATACGGTACGTGCCATAATGTCATACCGCAAGATGGGAGAGGCCGGTGAAATTATTCACGAAGAAAACCGAGCTGCATCAGGTGCAGCGCAACTAACCACAGCATGCTGCACCTTCCTCTTATCTTGACTACTACAACCACAGTAAAAGAGTCCTGGTACACAATGAATGTATCATATCACTATGTATCACCCTCCGACATAAGAGTCCTGGATGACAGCAACTGAAGTAGCACTGCTTTGGGCTCCACTACAATTACGTGCCATAGTCATACCGCAGGACGGGAGAGGCCTGTGAAATTTATCAGTATTAAAATTGAGCTGGACCGAGTTACACGCCATTGAGCCGTAACAGCGATAACAACGAAACCACTCGATAACCTATCTGCCAGAATTCCACCGGGACATCGATCAGGTCCTGGATGACGCCTAGTTGAAACTGAGTGCTGATGTTGACCTCATCATAATACGGAATGTGCAACAATGTCATACCGTAATTACCAGAAGGCCGGTCGGTTCACATTGATGAAAAACTGTTGAGCTGACACCTAACTTCACATAGTGGTCATTGAAAGTCATCTATCGTGACAGTGAAAGTGCACTAGACTGCAGAAACTTTATTAACCCAACTAGGGCAGTTCGCAACGGGGAGAGAGGGGGAAGGAGGAGGGGGGGGGGCATTTTGCACTTTAGCTGCCTCCCATCGATGTGACGAGTCATCTAAGGAGCTTGTCTCGAGCTTTCAACAGTTGACAGGTTTCACCATGACTCGATGAATTTGCTCCAGCTTCACGAGGATTCACGGGTTTCACCAGTGAGACTTGTAAACCGCTACTGGTGACAGCAGGAGTGCAAAGTGCCTCCCCCGTCGCCGAACTGCGCCGTCCTAACACGTCATTATTGTCACGTAAATTCAGATGGGAATGAGGCTTCTATGAAGACAAGTACTGACTCAACAAGAAGACGCAAAATATGTATCACTCCAGGCAGTATCACCCTCCGGCAGAAATGATCCCTGGGTGACGCTGTATGAAGTGGCACCTGCTTTGGGCCCCCTTACAGTGCGGTACGTGCCATAATGTCATACCACAGCAAGTGGAGGCCGGTGAAATCATTTGAGAGAAAATCGCTGAGCTGGAGCAGTTCACAAGCCATGCACATTGAAAGCTGCAGACCTTCGAGATCTATCCTATTCACTGAAACGACAGTAAGAGTGCAGCTGGATGTCACAATAAAGTGTATCACTCCAGACGGAATCACCCTTTGGCATGAAAAGGTCCTGGATGACGGCAATTGAAGTGAGTTTGATGTTGGCCTCATTATAGTACGGTAGGCGCCACAAAGGCATACCGCAACAACGTAAAGGCCGATCTTAACACTCGTAGAAATTCGTTGAGCATAGCCTAGCGAAGTGGTGGATGAAAGTCATCTATCACGTCAATGAAAGTGGACCAAAGTGCAAATACTCCATTGATAATACGATGCCTATTGTCACGCAGAAGATGTACCATTCCAGCCTTATCACCCTGTGACATGGAAGAGTCATGGATGACTCCATGTGAAATGCGATAAATGTAATTATGCCTCGTTACAATACCGGCATTGTTCTACACTTTCCATGACCGCAACTACGCGAGAAGCGGCTGTTCAATCATTTGTTGTGAAAATCATAGATGGAGCAGTCCATATCCCCTGTACACTGGAAGTTCAGAGACTGGTTGCAAGCCTGTTTTTCCTGTGTCGCCAGCACCTGTGTCACGATATAATGTTTCTATTCATGGGCAATTCATCCTTTGGCATGAAAAAATCCTGGATGATGATGGGTGAAGTGAGCATGATGTTGGCCCAGTCACAGTACGGTAGGTACCACAATGGCATACCGCAGCAGTATGAAGGCCGATCAGTTAGCACTTATGGGAAATCGTTTGAGCATAATCTAGCAACGTGGTCAATGAGAGCCCCGAGCTCAGTGGAAGTTCACTAATCCTACGACGCTTCATGTAGCCTGCATTCAAGGTGGTGATGAACTTACTACTTACTAATAAAGAGAGTATGACTATTACTCCCAGAGGATGCACCATTCCTGAAGGTGCCACCCCTCCGCACTATCAAGTCTTGGATGAGGTATCTGAAATGACGCTGATACCCAGAAAGACCGCCTTTGGACACCTCGTCGAACATGACCTCCGTGCCCGGTCGTCATTTCTTTTATCCAGGGCTCAGGATGGAACGAAAAGGATAAAGTCTTCGCCGTTGATCAATCCCTTTGTGGGATGCGGCACGCATTCTACTTCCATTCAGAATCGTAGTGGCTTATTGAATGCGATGTGGCCTATACAATGACTTGCGGTGGCCAGCCGATGTACAAGTCAGTGTT